CATCATGCTTTTGTGGTTTTCTCCTCATGCTAAATATATCTGCAAATTATTTTCATTATGCACCTTCCACATAAATGGAGAAGGGTAATTATCATTGGCCACAGTGATTTCTTTATTCTTTCATTTTGTATATTGAATCGCATCATTTCTGCAGACTCATGCTGCCAATCTCCTGTTCTACCACATGCCCAAAAAGTTCTACTGGATTCAGATCTGGAGACGAGGGAGGCCGCCGAAGTTCATGAAACCAGCTTGAGACGTCTTTTGCTTTGTGACATGGAGCTGTGGCATTCAAACCATGATTGATGATTCATTGGTACTAAGGGCCCAAAGTGTGCCAAGAAAACATTCCCCACATCATTACACCAGGCTGGACTGCTGACACAAGGCAGGTCGGCTCCATGGATTCATGCTGTAGACGCCAGACTGTAACCCGACCATCTGTTTACTTCTGCAGAAACTCAGATCCATCAGACCAGGCTACGTCTCCAACTGCCCAGTGTTGGTGAGGCTGTGTCCACTGCAGCCTCAGGTGTCTGTTCTTGGCCTGACGTGGTCTTCTGCTCTCGTAGTCCATCCATCCACCTCCAGGTTGGACGTGCTGTTCACTCTGAAGCTTTTCCGCTCACCACAGTTGTAAAGAGTGGTTATCTGAGTGACCGTGGCCCTACCAACCAACTGACCTCTCGCATTAGCAAAGTGCATCCGTCTCCAAAGCTGCTGCTCACTGGATATTTTTTGGGGGGGTTTTGGCTCTAAACTCTAGAGACCAGGAGATCAGCAGTTTCAGAAACACTCAAACGTTTTCCCAGCTCGGATGTTTGATGTGAACATTTGCTGCCACATGATTGGCTGATCGGATAACTCCTTGAATAAGCGGGTGACAGGTGTTCCTAATAAAGCGCTCAGTGTGAACATTTGGCAGCGGTTACAGATCTCACATGCTGAACGAAATCCTTGTAAACTACAAATGACTCGTGTCTCCTATCTTATCTGCATCTTGTGTATAAAAAAAAGAGCTGTCAGTGCTTGTTCCTCATGCTGTAGCACTACATCACGTCCTGCCATATTTTATAAAGCGCCCCATTGATAACCCCTCGACTGTGAAGCCGCTGCTCTGACTCCTCTGATTGAGTTACACCTCTCTCCTGGTTCTCACCCACATTCCTTGAATGGTACCTAAAACCTGGCGGTTTGCTCTACACCCGGGCCGCTCTGTCAGCGAGGCAGCTGTTGGCTGCGTTTGTCCGCTCGTGCTGTGGACTCTGTGGCCCACCGCTCTCCTCGGCTCTTTTATAAGCGTCTCTTTTGCTCGGGGGCGACAGGAAACCAGAGAGACCAAAGAGTCTTTTGTTACTTTTTCACATCAGCTTATTGGTAACCGGACTCACGTATTCCTCAAGGCACCAGGGGGACAGAGAGGGGATAGGACGAAAAAAAAAGAGACGGGGAAAAGAGGGGTAAAAAAAAAAGGACAGCAAGAAAGTGGACAGATGTACAGTAACAGATAATAAGAAAAGAAATATTGTGTGTATTACATTTCACCACAGTGGGGACTTCTTGTGAAAAAGCAATATAGTTTATTGTCTATATAATTGTATTACGGGATTTTCTTTTACGATGGGAACTTTTTGTGTCTCCTGAGAGAGAAAAGCGTCTTAGATTAAAGAAACTGCGGCACAGAAAACAGACATGTCACAAAAATACACTTAACCTACAATGTTGTCAATATTTCAAAGTAATTAATCAATCAGGTTTCTCCCAGAGTGATTGACTACAGTAGAAAAACAACCACACACCTTCCCTGTGTGATCAGAAGTCAGAAAAATTCATCTGGTTATGTAATTTTTTCTCCAGGCTTATTCAGGATCTCTTCCTCCTACTGTTCCCGAGGTAATGACAGATACACTTGACTGTTCATTTAACACCAGTATCAGCCAGTCGAGACTGAATGGTGTAATTCAGGTTGATGTATTGCAGGAATAATCATCACTACAAAATGCGTCTATGGGGAAAAACATTATGCTAAATCTATTATCATCCAACGTCCGTCCTGCGTTATCTCACTCAGCTCGGCCCTTCTTTGCAGAGTCACAAGCCACCTATAACGTATGTATATTACAAATGCAGCAACGGAGACCCTCTTACGAGGCAGCATCTGTGGGCCTCTCGCTGCTGAACAATGCAGGGTTTATTATGTTTCAGTATACTGCTTGGGCTGTCTACAACCCTCCTACACCTCATAGCTGCCTTCCACTCAACCAAGACTGGATACTAGGTCAACCTCCGACCTACAAAGCCTCTCCACAGACTCCCTTTATTGTGTCTCAAGTCAATGTCTTCATTATGAAATTATCTTAGGCTCAGTCAGCACAAAGGGGAATGTGGCATGCACTGAAAAATGTTGAAATTGTCCTTTAAGCAACTAATAATCAACACTGGATTTTCGCTTGCATGACTTGTAATTAAGAGCTTTTTTCGGCTCCTCATAAATCTCTAAATGCACCGAGGAAACAATGATTTGCCATTTTGCCATTAAAAAAAAGAACATTAACAACATTTAAAAAGACTTTTAGCAAAGATTTCAGCTACTTCATCCAAAACGATTCCTAACTGCCTCCAAAAATCCATGTTTTATGATGTTTTGTGTGCGTCTCTCTCACCTCAAACCCCCTGTTGTCTTGATTGTACTGGACAACATCCATGAAGTTGCCAGCCAGCGTTTCCAGGAGGTAGGCAGAGTCCGTCTCTGTCTGGATTTGCAGTTTGGAACACAAGCTGGAGAGCAGGAGAAGTTGTAAAGTGTAAATTAATCCCAGAAAAAAGGCCTGTTCACACTATTTTTCAGTCTTTGGTTTTACATTTGTTGATCAAGGTCTATTTATTGAATATTTCCACATACAGAGCGTTATATCCAATCTAATACCAAGTATCTACCCAGCCATCCGACCTGCACCACTGAATTAAAGTCAGTCATTTTGAACGACTACCAAACAGCAGCAACATAAATATTAAGGACCTACATTCTCTGCTTCCATTTGTTCTAAAAATGTCAAGAATAGCTGCCAAATGACATAGAAATTCAGAGCAGAGCCGTGAAGAGAGCATCTTATCTTCCTGTAGTTTGAGATACACAGGAGGGAGAGGAGGTCTTCCATCTCACTTATGATTGTTTAGATTCGCACTCTGTGCAAATAAAAAGCAAAAAAGAGGAGATGGATCTGATGGCTCTTTTAGCACTTTAGAGAGAATATTAAGAATCGACTTTCACAACTGGTGTAGTCTTTAGATGTCCAGAACATAATGTAATAGGCTTGCAGGGAACTGCTTGCATCTGACCTTTGGTCAGTGAAGTCGGTGTACTAGCTTGAGTTTTGCCACATTACCCTGTTGACTAATGATGATGAGTCGGTCCTACTTTTAATTGTTTACTTGTTTGTCACAACTTTAATCTGATAAATTTTGGTACCATGAGGATGATGTGTAATTTGTGTGTGTGAGTGTGTGTGTGTGTGTGTGTGTGAGAGAGTGTGCAGATAATATTTCCTTCATGATGAAATCCTGACGTATGCGCTGTATTCTCTGAGGCTCAGTGGTTTGGTCGCCAAACCACCTTTTGTGACCTTTGTGTGTTTATGCCTGCATGAGGACATGTCTGCATCTCCTGCCGGCATCATCTGCAAAAAGCTAAAATAAAAGATGCCCAGTGTGGTCGCTGGCCGGTGCAGACACAAAGACAAGGCTTCAGTGTGTCTCCGCGACAGTATTAGTTTGTGTGAGTCTAACCACACCATTGTAAAAGCAATTTAAGCATGCTTAATCATCATGCTGACTGACCTTACAGTCTCTATAACAACCTAAAATACACAAATATAAAATAGCACCGGAGACAGCAAACAATGAGACACCGAGAAAAAAAATAATGTGACAAGGGAATGAGAAAATGTCAAAAAATAAATGCAAGGCAGAGTCACTTTTGTTGAAGCAGAGGCTTGCCACCTTCTTAAAGGGTTAGTTCACCCAAATTAGAAACGAGGTAAAACAGATTATTAATTGATGTAATTCTATTCAAAACTATTAAAGCTGCATAAATTAATTTTTTTAAGCCAGTAGGGGAAAAAAAACCCTCAACAAGCTGCAACACAAATGCCCTGAAATGTTTCTGCATTACAAGATTGTTGTAGCTAGCATGTTAGCAGTCCGGCTCACATAAGGCTTTATTTGCAGTCATGATTCTGGTCACTTGAAGAATGGAAATCCAAGATTCGCTCTCCTTTTAGCTCAGATTTGGTTTCCACCAAGTCTTGAGGGAAACATCTGGCTCTTTAGCTGCTAAATGTTCATTGACTGTATGTTCACCAGCTAATTGCCAACTTATACAGTGGGTTTATCAGAGCTTTTATTTTTGTTCTGAAAATAGTTGCAAGCTGAAACCGGAACCAAGATAAATGGGAGCGAAATTCACGGGCCAGAAAATTAAATGAGCCAAAAGATGCTAAAAGACTCTGTGGAGAGACACTTGGATTTCTTAATGGGTTCCTCATGAGTAATTTCCTTCATATTACACATTCTCATTTGATTCATTGTTAATATAAAAATACCGACTGATGCAATAGCAACATCTCTTTCTATAAACAAAGGACAGTTGATGAAAGATCTCATTATCTCATTATCTCAGGAGGTGAACCCAAAGCTTAAATCTGTCTATTGCGACACTGCTAAAAGTATTTGAGAAAATACGTTTTTATTTGTGTGGACTGACCTTTTAAAAAGTATTAAACCGTAGTTATATTCTTGTAATGGTCTTTAGACCCTGACACTAAAACTGCGTGATAAAACCTTTGAGATGAGCATTAATATTGATCCTTACAATACACAAATGTCATCCAGCTGCATCACATCTGTTCTGTCACAGGTGGATGTTACTGACTGGCTCATGAATCTGATCTTTTCCCATTGTATTACATACATAGTGTCTAAAGCAGACTCTCTCTCTGCAGCGTGTCTGACATTCCAGTCCAAGAGCTCAGTCCAAGAACGCTTGAGGGACGCTCATGAAGCTGTAACCGGACCTGACTCAGACCAGGAACCAAGACAACCCCTCGCTGCTCTTTGAACCTCTCACAAAGCTCCAGGTATCAATATTAGTCCACTTCTTCTTAGACTAAAACTATATCTGTTCATATATAATCATGTTGTTTCATGTGCAGCTCTGCTAACCATCTAGAAATGAGCACATTTAAAAAGGAACAGCCGAGAGTTACATGAGAAGATCAATACCGCTCTCATGTCTGAACGCTGGCTCTGTACAAAAACCAAAGTGTAAAAACCTCAGTTTTTGTTTTTGCATCTTGTTGTAACTGTGCAGTTACCAGGCAACCGTCGGAGACTCCAGGAAGCCGCTGCAGCTGGCCAAGAAAATAGTCTGGCGTTTGTACGGATACGAATACTTAAACAACTGAGCTACAGTGAGCTGTAGAGGTGATGGGAGGTGGGTTTTGTTACACTTGGAGGCAGCCAGGCTTTCCCTGTGTTTCCACTCTTCCTGCTAAGGTAAGCTACAGATATAAGTTGTATTGATCTTAAATGTCAAACTATTGTTAATCCCCCTTAAATAAAGGTTACACCTTATGCACATAATCTTGTGATTGTCCCAAAACACCTGTGAAAGCTACGGCTTTTTATCAGTCCTGCAACACAATTCACTTCCTTATGCCCATATCTGTGGTAACAAACTTATCAGCTCCTCAGACACATGACCTATATAGTAATTTTCTGCCATTTTCATCCTGGTATTATGACGCAGGCCTGATTCATGGAAAAGAGCTGATAATAACTGCTTCTCCTGCGTCGACAAGTCAAAAGGCTTTCTGAGGAAAAAGGTCCATAAGTGCTCTCAAGATACCACCCAGGTGTTTTTTAAGTATTCTGTCTGATTGGAGCCGCGCTGGGACCGACGCCGAGGTCACCGAATTTCGTCAGCTAATGACAGTAATGGAGGTGTAATTTGTCCTGCGCTAAGAGCAGCAACAACGCTAACAGGAGAGTGAGGGAAATGCCAAACCAGCAACGTACATACATGTCCACACAGTCCAGAGAGGAAGTGTGATCAGGCAAAGTGAAAACACCTGTGCAGTGTAACAGTTTTAGGGGTAAATTATCCCAGGCACTGCTGGGTCTAGTAAAAAGTATTAGGTTGCTTTATATAAGCACTTATGTAATTCAAACTCGAACAACAACTTAATCAACTATTGAATGAAGTCAGGTTAGATTCTGCAGTAAATAACAGGATGGAGAAGGACAGGTTACGGAGAGTGAATGTACGGTACTTGAAGTCTTTAGTGATGTTGTCATAAGTCTTGGGATCCTTCAGGCGTTCCAGCAGGGTATCTGAAGCCTTTTTCACCAGTAGGGGGCACTCCGCGTTCTCCGACGCCAGCGAACGCCACACAACCTCCAAGTACTCTGGCAAAACATCAAGACAAGAGGGAGGGGTGGACACTTAAACCTGGGCTGCTATAAAAAGACCACAATAATACACAAAAAAGCCTGGGTTAAAAACATATAAGACTATTCTGGGGCGCAGCGAAAGCACCGGTTCATCTTCAAAACTGCGTCTGAATCAAGTTCTAGAGAAAGTGTTTATTCAAAAAGGGTGAAAGTGAGGTTAAAAGTGAAATGATGAGTGGATTTCACAGTTTATGAAACTCCAGGTTCCACATTACAAAATCCTGGAATATTTTATCTGGGATGAAAGCCAGTCTCTTACTGGCAATAATGCTGAGTAACTGCACTGCTGCTTTGGGGAAATAATAACTTTGGGACTAAAGGGGGAAAAGATTCCCGACGTCAGTCCACCATATACGCCACTCTCTCTGTGTGTGTGTGTGTGTGTGTGTGTGTGTTTCGTCTTGGATATTCTCCTAAAGTCTGTGAGAATGTGGAAGTGAGCGATAGTGTCTTCACGATAGCAGGAGTGTGTGGGCGGAACAGCACAGCACAGCGTTCAAAGCTGCTCTGACCTTGATTCCAGCCCGGAGCCTTCCGGAGGAAAACAATGGGCTCGGCCAAACACAACACAGACACAGATAGAGAATAAACCCGTCTTCATCTTTGATCTGTCTGGGACTCTTACTTCCAAGACACTGAAGAAAACTGGAATTTAAGACTTGATGTGTTGGACAAAGATGTTGATTCTAGAGGGAACACTGTGGGGAATCCACGCAATGTCAAATTGAGGGCGGAAGTGTGACTTGCATTATTTGATGCATTATTTAATAGTGAAATATACTATTTAACAATATTTTATTTGGTGTTTTTAATTTACGTCCTGATGGCAAATCTTATTTAAAAGAGTTTAAAGGTATAAAACTCTGATTATCTAAAACCTATGATGTTTTGCAATGTCTCCTTATACCTGGGAAGTTGACAGCAGCATGAACAGGTGCGCTCGTGGCCACAGAGGCATGGACCAGGTGAGGATACTTCAGCCTGAACCAGGCAGCGAGAGAACCTGGGTACGACCCGCCAAACGCCACCCACTTCCTGTTGGTCAGCCCCCGGGCCTCGGCCATCACGGTGCGGAAGTGAGCCAGGTCGGCTAAAGCCTGACGGCTGCTGAGGAAACGCAGGTTGTCTGTGCTGAGGTCACTGGATGTAGAGAAGAGGGAAGCTTAGTTTAAAAAGTAGTCTGAGAGACAGTCAGTGTTTGTACAATATTACATGGGACTGTCTGTCTGTGAATGCAGGGCTGCCATCTAGTGGTACAACAGCTTCACCAGGATCAGCTCAGCATTGCTCAGCCAGAGTTACTCTTGTGAAAACATGATGAGGTTGATGGTAATGGCTGGCTGCCCTTTGTCATTCTGGAAAGAGATACTTGGGAAACTCTTTGTTCATTCTATGAGCAAGACGTTGAACCCTGCACCAATCTTCTGTCTGAAAAGCATCCTTTCTGACAGTGTTGGATGCGCAGAATTCACAATCAAGATTCATTAAGATCCACTTTCTTTCATTGCAACAGATTGAATGTATTTTCTGTTTGTAATGACTCAACAAAGGTTTCTTTAAATGTCCTTTGTTAACTCTTGTGAAATGCTTAGACTCAGGTTTGCTGGATTATACATCATATCTAGAGATAGGGCAAGAAACAGGAAACTTGATATTTAAAGGTATGATTCAGCTTCCACATATAGCTTGTTTTCTGTGGTTGTTGCACTTCTGTATTTGGCTTTTTATTTATTTCTAGCTCAAACTAACTCCACATGAGCCAAAATTGAAGGGATCATGTAAACTCATAATCATTGTGTCAATTTAAAATTTTAACACCAAAACGACAGGTTAAACATTTTGGTAAATATAATTAAACATCTGATTGTAGTTCTTGCAACTTAAACTTTTGAACCGTGATAAACTAAGATTGATGAATTTGTCTGTAAAACCATAATTACCGAAGGAGTAAAAGCACTTGAGATTGAACAAGCTAAGAAAACACCCTTAAACAACATCACGGACACCTGCAAGGTGAAACATACACTGTCGGGTGACTCTTTCCATAGAAGCGATGTTCCAGCATCAAGCAAAGGGCTCCCAGTTTCTCAGCGTAGGTGAGCCAGGTTCCGTTCTGCATCCATGCTGGATTGGCTGGACCCTCTCCACCTATCATCAGAAACACTGGACCGCCTGGCCTGTAGAAGGCTTCGTTTACAAAGTACCTCTGGAGCAAAAAATGCAGAGAGTTATTCAGAAATACCGTATTATGATTATTGTGAGACAGTTTTGCATCTGTATGTCAGTAGTCTTGATATGATGAGCCAAGAAGGTACAGTTCTTGACCTATGGCCAGGTAGGGTATGTGCACATAGACACTTAAATGGCCTTGATGGGATCTCCCATTTTTCTACATATATTTCAACACATTAAAGGATACACATAACACATACACAGACTTACTTGCTTCCACTCTCTGCTGTCTGCACCATTAAAGTGATCCAGTTTCTGGGTGAACCACTGCTCCTCAAACACATCTCTCTGCTTGGTATCCTGCACTTGACTGAACCTCCTGAAGCCCTTATATTGTCCATCTCCAACAGCAAAGAGACCCAACAGGAAAAGTAAGGTTACTTTACACAGAGGTAACCCATACGTTTGAAAAGCCATGTTGATTTCAACAGGGAGACTGTTAAGGGCATGTGACTTAGTTTCCTGTGGTCATATGACAAGTTCTCATGGTACTTTTAATTGCTCGCAAAACGTGGGAAATATGAGTTTCCTATTTCAAATACCGTTAGGTGTATTTCAAACTTCAGTAAATTATCATATATAACTTTGATTAAGCAAAAGTAGTGTATATTTTTATTATAAGTGTGTGTTTACTCAGAATGCTTACAAATCTATTTAAAAACATTTTAGTGAATGTCCCAATATTTTGCAGCACCTGAACTACACACAAACAACCGTTACAATTCACCGCCAGCAGGGGCGGTAAAGAAAATATACAATACATTCTTTCTACCGTAGAAGAAGAAGCGGCCCATGACGATTTCTCCTCAGTTCCGTTTGCTAGCTGATAGTTCATAGAGTCTCAACCATGGAGGAGGCAAAACAGAAAGAGAATAAGCATCCCGAAAAGACCGATGAGAAGGCGAAGGACAAAGAAAAGGGCCAGCAGCCCAAGGATAAAGATAAGGACAAGAAAGAGGAGCAAGAACTGGTGAGTTCTCATTCAGATGTGTGCTAGGTAATGTCAGAGGAGCCAGAGGTGTTATTTTGCCTTAGTCACTGCCGCTTTGACAACATGGTTGAGCAGGCCGAAGTCAATGCATTTCAAAATAGACGACAAATAAACTTTAATTTACTTTGTGATTATTTCCCACATGGAATGTCCCCACTGTGACTTATTTATTTGTTGTAGTCCTTTAAATCCTGCAGATAAACTCACCCCGTTAGCTCATGTTAGCCTAGCCTAACTCAGCCGGTAAGCTAACATTAGCCTGCTAGTTGTTATCGCCGCTGTCTTTACTGTCACCACTGTTAGCTTTGCTCCCTGATGTGCCAGTGTATCCAGCTAGCTACAGTTAGCGCAGGGCTACAAATTGTATGACACAGCAGCTAACGTGAAGTAAAATAAACTGCTACACAACACAATAACAGTTAACCTAGCGCTAACCTGGCGTTAACTGTTACAACAGTCTGATTTGATAGTCAGCTTGTAGCCGTATTTATGAATTAGCCGGTGCTAAGTGTCAATGGTCAGATAATTGTTTTTCACTTAGTTAGTGGACAGTCATGTGAAACTTAGTACAAACTCGGACATGCGTTACTATTGTCTCTATATGGTATTAACATTAATAAGTCAGAGGTTGCAGTGGCTCTAAATGCACCAGTCAGGTATTCACTGTTAAATTGGACAGCTA